GGAGGAGGGAGGAGGGAGGAGGGAGGAGGAGGAGGGAGGAGGAGGAGGAGGAGGAGGAGGAGGAGGAGGAGGAGGAGGAGGAGGAGGAGGAGGAGGAGGAGGAGGAGGAGGAGGAGGAGGAGGAGAGGAGGAGGAGGAGGAGGAGGAGGAGGAGGGAGGAGGAGGGAGGAGGAGGAGGAGGGATGGAGGAGGAGGAGGGAGGAGGGAGGAGGAGGAGGGAGGAGGCGTCCTGGCAGCCGCTCCCGGAGCCTCCAGGGAGGCAGGCCGACGAGCGCCCACCGCGGCGCATGTTGGCTGCCCCTCCGCGGGGCGCGGCCGCCGCCCCGGCCTTCGCCGAGCCCGCCCCCCCCCGCGGGGAGGAGCCGCGCGCGCCACGCTGCTGGGCGGCTGTCGCCTGGGGCTCGCCCGCCGGGGGGGGGGGGTCGTGGACGCACGGGCCCGGCGCAGCGCAGACCTGGGCCTCGCAGGAGCCTGCGCCCAGACCCAGTCACGGGGCACAGGGACACACAAATAAACACACACACACACACCAATAAAATGACGCCCCATCTTTTCTCATATTTTCGGGGTGTTTGTCTTCCCGCCCAACTCCCATATATCTCCCCATATTTTCTTGGGTGTCGACGATTCATTGTGTGTTTGTGTGCTCTTTTCCCTCCCGACCCAGGGCAGTGCGCCCCTGGCCCTGCAGGGATCCTGCAGGACCGCGGCGCTCCGGCGGACGCTCCCCGCCTGCACGGAGCCCCGCCCCTCGAGCCCCGCGGCGTGCCTCGAGGCGGCGGGCGGCCCCGCCGGCGTGGCCCGGCGAGGCCCGCCGCCCGGTGCGTGCCAAGGCCGCCGCGGGCGGCGCCGCGGCGCCGCGGCGGGCTCGCCCGCGTGGGAGTGCGGCGGCGGCCCCGCCGCTGCGGCGGCCCCGCTGCGCCGGGGCGGCCCCGGGCAGGCGCGGCCTCTGCCGTGCGGCTCGCCGGCCGCTGCGCGCGGTGCGGCCGCAGCGGCCCGCGTGCCCGGGGTCTGGCTCTCCCCTGAGCAGGGGCCGACCGTCCCGGCATTCCTATAGTCCAACCGCGAGATGTTCTTCGAACCCCGAAATGTTCTTAGAGCAAGAGCACTGTTCTCAGAACGTAGCCCCCAGGCGATAAACCAAGGCAACCTCCGCCAGAAATGTTCCAAGAACATTTCGTGGGAGCCACAAGAGGTTCGTAGAACATTGTTTGGTGGGGCTATAGGCGAACCAGGACGCTTCGCCACTGCTTGACTCCCCTCGCCCCCCCCCCCGGGGGAAGCGCCGCGCACACGAGGTCACTCTGGCCCTGGCGTGCAGCCCGCTGCTCGGGTTAAGTCGGGCCTGTCCCTCTACAGGGGATTTCTGACGAACGAAAAGAAAATAACTCCCCCGAAATAATCAAAAACAAATTAAAAATAGTCTGGGGACTATTTTTGGGGTATTTATTTGACCTTTCTGGACTCGTTTTTTTGTTTTCTTTTGTTCTTCTTCTTTCTTTTCTATATATTTATTATATATATATTCGTCGAAGATGCCCCTGTAGCGCCGGGAGCGGCACTCCAGCGCCTGGCTGCGGGCGGGCGCGCGCTGGGGGGCGCGGGCGGCCCCGGGGGGCGGCGCGGCCCCGGCAGGCCCGAGGTGCTCCCAATCGACGGGATCTCGGGGGTGCAGGGCGGGAAGAAGCACAGCAACATCTCAGAGCCCCGAATCATCAGGGGTAACTCGGGTCAGGGCTAACTCGGGTTCCTTTTTCGGGAATCCGAACCCGAGTTACCCCGGATAACTCGGGCGTCCAGAGCCCCGAATCATCAGGGGTAACTCGGGTCAGGGCTAACTCGGGTTCCTTTTTCGGGAATCCGAACCCGAGTTACCCCGGACCCGAGTTACCCCGGATAACTCGGGCGCCCAAACATCATGTTGGCCCTTGAGGCAGGAGGGCGCTTGAGGGCGATTGGGCTCTGGGAGCCCAGAGGCACAGGCTTTTCCGGCTCGTCGGTCGTGGGCTTCGGCCCATCGGCGCCCCTCAGTCTGGTCGACGCAGGGCTTGGCGTCTCACTTCATTGGCGGCCCGGCAACAAACCAAGCAGCGTATGCTGAGTGATGAATCGCGCCACAGAGATTGGATCCTGGACAGGGGCGATGATAGGCCGAGCACACCGTGGAATGCAGCACCCCTTCGAACTCTCAGAAGCCCAGGAGTCAGTAAGGTGGTCGGCACACATGGGCAGCCCATCTGTTTCCTCTCCAGGCGTCTGAGGGTCCACGCCTGCAGGTAGGCGTCTGGGAAGCACGGCTGACTGTTGCTGGACGTGTCGCGATTCCCTGCCACTCGACCCAGCGTAGTACGGGTGACGGGCCAGATCTTGGCACGAAGCACGCGGGTCATGAGGGAAGCGGATCCTGGACCCCCAGGGGCCTCCCCCCAAAGACCAGCTATTCGTCCCGAACCGTTTTCGGACGGGGGCCCGTGGAGGGGAAGGCTGCACAAGGTGAAAAGCCTCGGGGCCCCTCAGGATCCCTCTGCTCCCTGGGGAGCCTCTTCCCTTGGCCGCAGCAGCTGGCCTTTCAAGCGGAGAGTATCCGGCGGCAAGACGACTCGGGACGGTGCAGGGACGGCGAGGCGGCCAGCGTCGGGCGAGCTGTCTGGGCAAGAGGCCGTCGGGCAGTCGTTCCCCCGAGAGGCAGGGGCCCTCCTACGTCCGCTTCTCCTCCTCCTCAATCAGAGAAACTATGGATTCAGTTTGTGTCGGGGTTTCGGTTCTCTGCTGTGCCTGGCGGCCCATAAAGGGGCCAGACGGATCGCGAGGAGGCGGAGGAGGAGGAGGAGAAGGAGGAGGAGGAGGAGGAGGAGGATGAGGAGCAGGAGGAGGAGGAGCAGGAGGAGGAGGAGGAGGAGGAGGAGGAGGAGGAGTTGATGACAGTTGATGACGCTCGCGCCAAACTGGACGCTCCCGCAGTGTCCGAGGCACTCGCTGCGCGGATCTCTTGTAGAGGGGCCCAGACTGGGTGGCGCACGCGGGGCCACCGTCTGGGGTCCCTCGGGGTGGCGCAACACCACAGTCGTCGTCGTCGTCGCCGTCGTCGCTGCTGCTGCCACCGCCTACGCCGCTCTCCTCTTCCTCCCCCTCCGCCTCCTGAAGCTGTGATGTGTTCGTTGAACCGACAAGGATCAAATAGGCAGGGGGAGCGAGATAGACAAGTGGAGAGAACGAGAAAGAGAGAGAGAGGGGGATAGAGAGAGCCAGAAAGAGAGAGAGAGAGAGAGAGAGAAAGAGAGAGAGAGAGAGCGAGACACTATACACATATATTCTTATACATTCACACATATGTGATTCGGTTCGTGTATGTGCAGGGGAAACATGATGTGTGTGTATATATATAGAGAGAGTGAGAGAGAGAGGGAGAGAGCGAGAAGAGGCGTCTTTTCCTACACCCGTTCCCCTGCCCCGTCTTCCCCTTTGCGGCCCAAGTCTGGTGGGGAGCCGATCAGACATCGGCAACGCTTCGGGCTGAGCCCGAAGGTCACCCGTTGGCTCACTCAGCTTGCAATCACCTGGAACGTTCCCCGAGAAGCGCAGCTTAAATTATGCCCCGATCTTCCTCCTCCTCCTCCTCCTCGCTCGTCTCCTCTCCCATTCCTCTTCCTCGACCTGCTCCTCGACCTCCTGCTCTTCCCTCTCTTCTCCTCCTCATTCCCCTGCTTTCCTCCTCCTCCTGCCCCCGCGACCTCCTCGTGGCCAGCTGATCCCCGCCACTCTCCAGCAGGCGCAGGGGGTCCTTCAGGTCCTGGATCCCCGTGGCCTTCTTCGGCGACTGCGGGGAGCAGGAGGGATTCCTCCTCCCTCCTCCTTCTCTTCCTCTTCCTCTTCCATCCCTTTCCTTACAACTCGCACCTCCCTGTCACACCCCGAGACGCGTTGGTACGGCGGGCCGGGCGTTTCGACGGACACTTCTTCATCGTTTACGATCCTGCAATTTAAGGGTTTGCAGGAGCTTCACGGATGGAGGGCGGGTGGTTCCTAAAACTTGACTCTCGCCTTCGCGACACGCCTGTCTCGAACGTGAGCAAGAGTTTCACTGATGGAGGGCTGGTGGTTTTCAAAATCTGACCCACCTTAGCGCCGCGGACATTTGTTCAACAACATCTGCGGGAGCTTCACAGATGGAGGGGCCCTCCACTTTGAAAAGAACCCGCCCTCCAGGATGGCGGCTCCTTTTCAAACTGTGGCTCTGGTCCTAGCGCCGCGCGCATTCGTCTTAAACGTTCGCAGAGGTTTCACATCTGGGCGTCGGGATATCTTTAACATGTGGCTTTCGCGTTAGCGGCGCGCACATTCGTCTTGAACGTTTGCAGAATTTTCACGGATGGAAGGCGGCTCCTTTTCGAAATGTGGGTCTCGCCTCAAAGCCGCGCACATCCGTATCATATCTGCAAAAATGCTTCACGGAATGGAGGGCGACTTCCTTTCAAACTCCGGATCTCGCCTTAGCGCCGAGCGCATCCGTTTTAAGGCGTGAACCGTTTCGCTCATGGAGAGCGGCTTCTTTTTCAAACTGTGGGTTTCGCCCTAGCGCCGCGCACGTTTTTTTTGTTTTGGTGTGTGTGTGTGTAAAAGGAATCATTTCAAGGATGGAAAGCGGGTGGTTTTCAGTGTGTGGTTCTAATGTTATCGCTGTGGGTCGTAGTGCCGAATGCGCTCGTTTCACGAATCTGTGAAGTTTTTCACGAAATGGAGGGCGGGTGGTTTTCAACATGTGGCTCTCACTCTAACGCCGCGCACTTTCGTTTTTGTTTGAACATCTGCGAATCTTCACGGAAGGGGGGCGGTTTCTTCTCAAACTTCGGATCTCGCCTTCGCGCGGCGCACATCTGTTGTAAAATTTGCTGGGGTTCCGCGGATGGGGGGCGGCTTCTTTTCAAACAGTGAGTCTCGCCCTGGCGCCGCGCACAATGTCCTCACAGTTCGCAAGTACTTCAAGGATGGGGGGCAGGTGGTTTCACCGTGCGGCTCTAGCCTTAGCGCTGCGCGCTTTCGACTGAAACTTTGAACATGTTTCACGGGCGGAAGGCGGCTTCTTTTTCTCCCTGTGTGACGCAGCGTCGCGTACATTCGTCTTACGAAATAGTAGTTTTTTCACGGAATGGAGGGCGGGTGTCTTTCACCATGTGGCTCTCGCCTGAGTGCTGCGCACATTCGATTTAAACGTTTGCGAATGTTTCAGGGGGTGGAGGACGGGTAATTCTCCAATAATGGCTTTTTCATTCACACCGCTCACATCCGTCTTGCCACATGGCAAAACTTAAACGGGTTACAATGGCTGACGTCCCAAAAATGGTGTTGCTGCACAATTTTGGGCTGTCACGGCGCACCCGTCACGTGACTCGCGGTGTTGAAGTATCGGCAATGATCTTCTGGTACGATGCAAGGTCACCAGGACACAACGCTGAAGTTTATTCGCGGCGTTGAAGTCCAAATAATGATGTTGTGGCACGGTTGAAGATTTTCAGACGGTTGTCTTCCAACGGGGCACTTCCAATAGTGAACGCAACGTGCCTGAAGGGACCTATGAAGAGGAAACTTTGAGGGACGGTTTATTGCAACATTGTTGATACGTCTTGGGTACATACTGGTCCTCCTCCTCCGCCTCCCTCCCTCCATCTCTCTCTCTCTGTCTCTCTCTCTCATCCCTCTCTCCTCCGTCTCCTCCTCCTCTCCTCCCTCTCCTCCTCCCTCCTCCGTATCCTCCTGTTCTCCGCCTCCTCCTCCTCCTCCCACTCCTCCTTCTCCTCCCTCCTCTTCTCCTCCGCCTCGTCCCTCCTCCTTCTCCTACGATGCTGTTTTGGCGCAGGCCCCTGGCTGTCGGCGACAACACGCGGATGCCGCTGATCCGCAGCAGCGTGCATATTTTCGCCTGGTCTCGCCCCTCCCCCCCCCCACACGGCCGAGGCCACGCGTGGTCCGACCCACGAGTGACTGGCGTTCCGAGAGCCCCTGCGCCGAGCCGCGCGGGGCGGAGCACACGCTGCCAAGTGGTCCCTCTCCTGCGGCAGCGCGCGGCCCGCCGCGCCGCAGAGCCTGGGGGCAGGACTCCTGGCGCTGCCCCGTCGGTGCCTCCGCCCCCCCGTGCAGGCGAGAGGCGGTGGCATGGCGGCGGAGGAGGAGGAGGAGGAGCAGGAGGAGGAGGAGGAGGAGGAGGAGGAGGAGGAGGAGGGGGAGGAGGAGGAGGAGGAGGAGGAGGAGGAGGAGGAGGAGGAGGAGGAGGAGAGAGAGGAGGAGGGGGAGGAGGAGGAGGAGGAGGAGGAGGAGGAGGAGGAGGAGGAGGAGGAAGCTGGCGCGTGCACAGCGCAGCAACAGCGACGGGCGCGCCTCGGCTGGGGGGGCCTCGAGGCGCCGCATCGGCCCAACGTCCGCGCCCCCCCCCCCACACCGCGGCGGCTGCCGCCGAGGTGGCCGAGCAGGGCAAGAGCTCAGCCGCGAGGAGGGCCAAACGTGCTCGACTTTGTGTGTGTGTGTGTGTGTGTGTGTGCTGGGTTGGAGGTCTAAATTCTGCTACCTGGTCAGTTAATATTGGAGGCCTGGAAATTGGCACCAACACCAGCACAGGGGGTTGCCTCCACATGGAAAACATGATCCTAGATTTCGGTGTTGGTGGTAATATTTCGGTCACCTTGGAAACCACCATATTACCACCATCACCGAGATCGGGATCGTCTTCCCTCGGTGAAGGCACACCGCCGAACTTGGTCAACCTCTAGGCCTGCGATAATACTGCATGATCAAACTGTTCTTCGGGATGGTGCTGATCTCATGTTGTACGCAGTTCAAGCCACAGCGGGCGTGTGCCAATGCGGATTCATGGACCACGTGTGTGGGAGGACCAAGAGATCGCCATGCTCAAGGCGGCCCAGACGGCAGCCATGATGAACACCATGTCGCAGTCACCCACGGAGTTTGGAGGTGATGCGGCTGACCACGAGCGACTGGCGGAGATGGCCACGATGCTCCGACAGCTTGGCACGCCCGCCGAAAAGGTACTGCTCGATGCCAGGAACCGTCTCGTCGCCGAGCGCGCTGGGCTCAAGGAGAACATGGTCAGCAACGAGCCCCACGCCGCGCAGGTGCAGCACTGGACTGACTATCCGCACCGGGGCGATGCAGGCCCAGAAGCTCAAGCAGGCCAAGATCCTGGCCGACGTCCACGGGCAGCAGAGGGTGCTCGGGGAGAATATTGAGGAGGCAGAAGAAGAGGAGCTCGCTGTCGCAGTGGAGCTCCAGGAGCTCGAGAGCCAGCGCTTGGTGGCTGCTTCGCAAACGCCCAAGGCCCGTGCCTGGAGAGTTCTCGCTCGAGGCACTGGTGCCCGCGCCCGACCTCCCAGTCGACAGGCTGGGCGAGCTCCTGCAAGCTGCGGTGGCCGACGACACGTTGGCCAACGCCATCGTCGCATCTTTCGAGGCGCTGCGCGAGCTCAAGACGAAAGCCGAGCCGCCGCCGCCCGCTCCTCAGCAACAGCCCGTGCCAGCATCCCCCCCCGGCCGTGCAGATGCCTTCGCAGCAGCAGCGCGAGCATGCGGAGGCGCGGGCAGTGCCCATGGACACCGACGACCTGGAGGTGCTCATGGAGTTCTATCGGCAGTGTACAGTGGAGAGCTCCGAGTTTTTATGTTTATGCCACTTTTTGTTCCCCGATGCACCTCCCCGCGCGCTGCCGCAGCCCCCGTCGCCGGGGGCGCCCGCCCCCGGGGGCGCCTTGGAGGCTCGGGGGCCCGCTGCGGGCCCACAGCCTCTCCTCGGGCGCCTCTGCCGCGGGGCGCTGCCGCGTGGCGCGCGCCGGGGGGCCCGGCGGGCCGCCCGCCCCGCCCGCGCCCCGCGAGCATGCCCGCGAGCATATGCCCGAGAGCGCGAGGGGCAGCGAGGGTGCACAGGTGCACAGGATCGGGGATGGACAGACCCCCCCCCGTAGTAAAGCGTGGTCTCGTGACAACGACCTGAGGCCCAAACCTGGCGGGCGCAAGCCTGGAAAATAGCGGGCCGCCCGCCCCGCCGCGCCCCGCCGCGCCCGCGAGCAGATGCCCGAGAGCGCGAGGGGCAGCGAGGATCGAAAGGGCCCTGGGACACACACAAATAAATACACACACGAATCACAGGATGCCCCATAGTTTCCCATCTTTTTCTGGGTGGTTGTCTTCCCCCCCACGTCCCATACTTTCCCATCTTATCCTGGAGATCGACGATCAATTTTGTCTGTGCGTTCTTTCACCGGCCTCCCCCGTCCTCCGCATTCGGGCTCCTCCTCTCTGGGGGGGGGGGCACAGAAGGTGGGGTACGGGCAGAGGTTGGGCTGGTGGGAGCATCGCTCCGAACGGCTCCCTGAAGAAGGAAGCGCGTTACACAGGAGCATCCGGCTGGGCCCCCTCCCCAGCCCCACCTTGGGACAACCCTCCCTCTACGACCCCCTGATCCTCCAGAAGGAGGAGGACCAGTGTAAAACCAAGAGTCGTCAACGATGTTGGAATTCACCCTCCCTCCAAGCTCCCTCTTCATGGGCCCCCACAACGAGTCATTTCCATTGAGGGAACTGCCTCGTTGGAAGACAACCGTTTGAAGATCCTGAAGCATGCCAAAACATTGTTCTCGGGATTTCAACGCCACGTGTCAACCTGACTCCTGCGTCTTGACGATCCGGAATCGAGCCAGAGCGCCATGTTTGGGACTTCAACGCCGCGAATCAACATAACTGTAGCACCCGCGTAATCCTGAATCCTTCCAATACATTATTTCTGGTACGTTGATCATGGGAATCCGTGAAACTCTTGCACATTTGGAAAACGAATGCACGCGGCGCTAAGGTGAGAGCCACATTTTGAAAAGGAACCGCCCTCAATCCGTGACGCTCTTGCAAATTAAAAAACGAATGTGCGCAGCGCTAAGGCGAGAGCCACATTTTGAAAACGACCCGCCCTCACTCCGTGAAGCTCTTGCAACTTTGTACAACGAATGTGCGCGGCGCTAAGGCGAGAGTCACAGTTTTAAAATGGCGCACCCTCCGTCTGTGAAGCTGTTGTTACTTCTTAAGCTTCAAAATCATACACGGTGAGGAAGTCTCACGCGAAACGCCTGGCCAGACCTAACAAATGGCCTTGGGGTGCGACAGGGAATAGTTATCTATACGGAGAGGAATGGAGAGCCTTCCGCCACCCGCGCGGGCCCTGCCTTGGGCTCCTCCCCGGCCCTCGCGGCCCCCTTCTGCGTGTTGTTCGTCACCTTCTTGGCGCGCGTGCCGTACCTCGGGGCGGGGCCGGGGCCTACGGCCAGGCCTCGGCCCCTCCCAAAGGGCAAATTTTCTGGGCCCCAGGCGCCATCAAGAGGCGGCGCCGCGCGACGCGCGAGGTGCGCCCACCTTCGCGCCCTCGCGCCCCCCCCGCGCCGCCCAGGCCGAGACCGCGGGGCGCGGGTCATATTCGCGGGCCTGCGGGAGACTAAAGGGACGGGGTGAGGAGGGGGACGCGAGGAGGAGGTGGCGAGCGTGCGAGAAAGGTTGCAGGGTGTAGTAACAATGTTGGGGGCTCTTGGGGGCTTTTCGGGGTGCTGCAATTGGTGGAGGAATATTCAACGAGCGAAACTTTCAAGGCGCGTGGGTAAATATGCATCAGGGCATCTCTGGGGCGATCTTCACGCCTTGTCCCTCGCTGCTTACGTAGCCCTTTTCAAAACCAGGCGTGGGCACCACCCAGCTTTCACCACCCAGCTTGCACCACACAGCCTGCACCACACGGCCTGCACCACGCAGCTTGCACCACACGAGCGACATCGCGGCCCACGCTGGCAACCATTCGGCTTGACCTATGCAATGCAATCTTTTTGTTGTTTTTTTCTTCCCGCGCACGGCGCAGCGGCGGCGTGGCGCCCTCGGAAACTGCCCTACGGCACCGCAGCTAGCGAGGGTTGTGCGTGCGGAGAAGGGTTGGACGCCTGGCCTTTCGTCCCGCGTCCTCCTCCGCCTCCTTGCCCCTCCTACTCCTCCTCCTTGCCCCTCCTCCTCCTCCTCCTCCTCCTCCTCCTCCTCCTCCTCCTCCTCCTCTCCTCCTCCCTCCCCCTCCTCCCTCCTCCTCCTCCTCCTCCTCCTCCTCCTCCTCCTCCTCCTCATTCCTCCTCCTCCTCCTCCCTCCCTCCTCCTCCTCCTCATTCTCCTCCATCCCCCTTCTCTTCCTCCTCCTCCTCCTCCTCCTCCTCCTTCTCCTCCTCCTCCTCCCCCTCCCCCTCCGATGGCATGGTGTGCACTGTGTGCTCGCCCCGCAGCGCGATCCAGCGCACGAGGCGCCCACGAGGTGGCCACGAGGCGCCCGCCGGCCGCCCAGCTCGCACGAGACGCCCACGCCGCGCTCACGCCGCGGCCCTCTGGCCCCCGCCGCCCGAGGGGAGCCGGTGGGCCCGGCCGGCGCACCGGGGGCGCCCACGGGGCGGCCACGGGCGCGCACGGGGTGCAGACGCAGCAGGGCCAGCCAACTACACAGGGAACATCGACATAAGCATAGACATACACATAGACATAAACACTCAACTGACAGTAGCATGAACATAGACATAAACATAGCTACACAGGAACATGAGCATAAACATAAACATCCCCTAGGGGGAACGAACAATGATACAAACATAAAAACTCGGAGGTCCGCGCGGATCCGAGTGGACCCCCCTGGCGGCGCCTCCCGCGCCGCCACTGGCGCGCTCCGCGCGCCAGGGAGGGGGTCCAGCGCCGATCCGAGAAATCCGCGTTGACCTCCTCAGAGTTTTTATGTGTATGTCAGTCTTCGCTCCCCTGGGGAAACAGTAGTAACCCTTCGAGTCATGCAGGCCCTGCCTTGGGAATCTGCATCTGGTGATGAGGCCTGCGATCAGAAATCTTGGGGGCGCAGTGCTTGTCGATCTGGTCGTTGATCCTGAACTTCGTAAGGTCCGCAGAAGCCCAATGAGCCCCCGGGGCCATCGGAGGTGGAAGCCTGTGCGGGGCACCCGCTGGAAGGATGTTTGCTTCTCTGCCGGCCCACGGAGCCCCCCCCAGCCCTCTGGGCTGAGGCGGTCTGGGGCGCTTCCTCTTCCAGCCCCCTCCTCCCCCGTCGGGGTGGCTTCATCTCTGCCCCCGGCTATATCTGCATCCCCCTCCCCCTCTCGAGCGACCGCTGGCCCGACACCACGCCGCCCCCCCCCCCCCCCCCCCCCCCCCCGTCTCAGGGCACCAGTAGCAACATCTGGACCCTGCAGGAGGAGGAGGAGGAGGAGGAGGAGGAGGAGGAGGAGGAGGAGGAGGAGGAGGAGGAGGAGGCGCCCCGCAGCCTCGTTGCCTTCTCTTCTGGCGGGGGCGGGGGTGGGGGTGTGCCGGCGCCTGGCCGCCTCCCGTGCGCAGGCAGGCCCGCGGGCCCCTTCAGTACTCGGCAGGGATGGTGTGGGGGGGGCCCTGGCACGCGCGACGGCGTCGCGCATCTGGCTGGCGTCTGCGCTGGCTTCCGACGGCTGTCAGTGACGGCCCCTGCCCTTGCTGAGACTCGGGTGCTACTGATGTGGTGGGAGGCTTGGGAGTGAGCGAGACGGCCGCCGTGGCCGCGGCCGTGGTCGTGGTCGTAGTCGTGGTCGTGGTCGTGGTCTTTGTCGTCGTCGTGGTCTTCGTCGTCTTCGTCGGTGTCGTCGTCGTCGTCGTCGTCGTCGTCGTCGTCGTCGTCGTCGTCGTCGTCGTCGTCATGGTCGTCTTCGTGGTCGTCGTCCTCGTGGTCGTCGTCGTGGTCGTGGTCGTGATCGTGGCCGTCATCGTGGCCGTCGCCGCCCGAGCGCCGACTGCCCGGCGGAGGCTACCCCACCCCTTGGCGACGCCCCTGGGGCCCGAGCCGCCCAGAGGAGGAGGAGGAGGAGGAGGAGGAGGAGGAGGAGGAGGAGGAGGAGGAGGAGGAGGAAGAGGAGGGGGAGGGGGAAGAGGAGGAGGAGGAGGAGGAGGAGGAGGAGGAGGAGGAGGAGGAGGAGGAGGAGGAGGAGGAAGAGGAGGGTCCGAGAACCAGTCCCTCCTGAACCGAAACTGGTCCTCATTTCCAGCGTCTGAACTTTAGAGCGTATCGTTCGATACCGGCCGATTCTAGGCAGCTGGTGGCGTTCAGCCTTGACCAGCCTCGCTGGGGTGTCACCACTACGAGATACACTCCACGGACACATGTTGCACATCGATCCTGCACTTGCCCACCATCCACCCCGACAGCGCACGTCCTGTGCGTTGGCTGGCTGGTATGCCCTGCCTGCTTGCACTGTGCACGCTTCGCTTGTGCTTCGCGCCTGTTCTGCGGGTGCTACGTGCTTGCTTCCTCGTCATCCTCGTCTGCGTCCGCACTGGCCCACGTTGGCCCAACCCAGGGCGGTGCCACGATAACCGCGCTCGTGCCCCCTTCCGAGCAGGACAGCGGCCCGAGCACGCGCCGGCGCGCGCCTCAGCGTGTTGAGCGTCTCGTCCCAGTTGCTCTCCGCAGGGGAGCAGTTCAAGAACATCAGCGTCTTCGCCGTGCCGCCCAGGGAGTCCTGCAGCACCTGTGCGAGCAGGGCCCGCGGGCGCGGACAGACAGGCCCGCCTCTCGCCGAGGACCTCCTGGCCGCACCGTGCCCTTCGTTGCCGCCGCCCGGGCTCCCCCCTCTTCCGCCACGTCTGCACGCGGTGTATAGCCGTGACGGCAGACTTCTCAGCAATCCTGGATCGCATGTTCTTCGATTCTGCGGAGAAGGCGGAGTAATATCTACTCCAGATCTCGTAATAAAAGGGAGGGGGTCTGGACCCTCCAGGACAAGCCATTTCAGACCCCCCCCCGTGGGAGAACCCTCCAAAACGTCGTCCCCAGACCCCCCCAGGCCCTCCAAGATAGCCTGGAAGAGACCCCCCTCGAAATGAGACCCCCCTCCCTTTATTACGAAATCTGGAGTACTCCGCGTGCAGGCGCATCCCGTGCGATGAAGTATACGGGTTGGCGAGGGATAACTCCCTGCCCCTGGTGGATCTAAGAAGACTGTTGAATGAGCGCATGGACCGCAACTAGTCCGCCAAACACCGCCAGCCGTATGTTATGTTAGGAATCTTGAAAAGGAAAGCTGTTCACAGGGCGGCAATGTAGGGCCCACCGGCATTCTGAGTAGGACGCCCTGCAACACGCGTTCAGATGTTTGCATTGCGCACGAAGCCCCGAAGATCAAGCGGCACCGCGATGGCGAGCAATGCTGGGTGTCACTTCGTGCCGCCTCCCACTCCGCCCCCCACCCTCCTCCCCGTCCCGCTCGCCAGGTCCCTGGAGGTCTCCAGAGGCTCCCAAAAGTCTACAAAAGTCTCGGGAGGTCACGGGAGGCCTTCGGAGGTCCTGGAAGGTTTCATGAGGGCCCCCCAAAAAGCAAAACAAACAACCCAAACTGCCATCCATTCTTGACCCTCCTCCCTCCTGCCTGTGTCCTCTTCTCGAGTGCGTCCAAGAGGGGGGTGTCCAAGACGGGTGGGCGCAAATCACGGCCGGCGGCATGTACGCGGCCCAGGGGGAGCCCGGGGACGAATTGATAAAACAAGAGGCGCCATGAAATCTGGGGAGATATCATGGACCCCGCCATGATATCCCCCCCCCAGTCGTCACTCCCCCCCTTTGCCGCCCCCCCTATTCACCCCCCTCCTTCTCCTCTTCCTCCTTTCCCGCCCTCCTCTGCCGGTGGCAGGGATGGCGCCCCCACCAGCTCTTCGGGGGGCGGCCTTCCGCAAACGACCAGCGTTCACTCGCCATCGCTCGGACGTCCATTCCGTGTGCTTTTTTCGGTTTCGTGCGTGGTTTTTTCGCCAAATGATCAAGGATGCTCCTCGATGGTCCTCGCCGAAGGAAAAATGCACACGTCCGAGCGATGCCGAGTTCATCAGCCTTCGAGGCCGGCCCGCACCCGGCTGCTCGCCCGCATCCTGCGGCCTTCCATCGCAGAGCAACGGCGCAAACGGACTCCCCTTCTGCACGAAGGATTGCAAAAAAACCCAGGATTGCAAAAACACCTTCGAAGGATTGCAAAAAACCCTCGTTCCTGCGGCCTTCCATCGCAGAGCAACGGCGCAAACGGACCCCCCTTCTGCTGGCAGCGGCCCGTGGCCTCCGGGATCCAACGCCGGCCTCCTCTTGCGGCCTGTCCTGGGGCCTCTTCCTCGCGCCCCCCGGTGTCAGCAGCGCGCGGTCAGCAGTGTCTGCCTGCGTCGCGGGGTGGCTCGCACGTCTGTGCCTTGCATTTTGAGCAGGGACCGACCGTCCCGGCATTCCCATAATCCTACCACGAAATGTTCTTGGAACCCAAGAATGTTCTGAGAACAAAAACAACGTTCTCAGAACACAAGCCCCATGTGATAAAACAGAACAATCTCCGCCAGAAATGTTCTAAGAACATTTCGTGGGAACCACAAAAGGTTCTTAGAATATTGTTTGGTAGGGCTATAGGCGAGCCAGCACGCTTCGCCACTGCTTGAGCATTGGGGGAATCCGCGCTCCGATCCTCTTGCCTCCAGGCCTGAACCTCGGCAGGGGTCCACGATAGCATGCCGCCAGATATCAGAATCAGCTGGTGCATTCTCGTTACGTCGTGGTGCTGTCCAGCTCTTCTTCTCCTCGCCCTCCTCCTTCTCCCAATGCTCCTCCTCGCCCTCGTGCTTGCCCTCACCATCATCCTCTTTCTCCTCTTCCCCGCCCTTCTCCTCTTCCCCGCCCTCTCTACTGGCGCGGCCTGGGGGCCCCTGAGTCTGCGCAAGCAGGGGTCAGAGATCGCGCAGCCCGCCGCGGAGCTAGGAAGATCAACAATGTCTCCACACCCTGGACTCCGTCATGGCCTTAATACTGACAACCGGCAAGGGGCCTGCAGCCAAATAGGCCCACATGAAAAAAACACTTGGTACACTTGGTTGGGCCGCTGCTCAAGCTAAACCGCTGGTCTCGACGTCCAACGTTTGTCTCATAGTCGCTGACCCTCGATGGCTACCGGAAGCCACAAGGAACACACATGCATGTACTCTCTCACTCTATATGTATGTAGGTGTGCATGCATGCATGGACGCCTACAGATACATGTATGTATGCATGCATACATGCACGCATATAGGTACGTATACATTTGCATGCATGTATGCATTCATGCATGTATGCATATAGGTATGTACAGTTGTCCGTATGTATGCATGTATGTAGGCATGTGTGCATACATGCATGCATGTATGTATGTATATGTGTGTATACATGCATATATGCATGCATGTATATATGTATGCATGTATGTATGTATGTATATATGCATGCATGCATGCATGCATGCATGCATGCATGTATGTATATATGTATGTATGTATGTATGTATGTATGTATGTATGTATGTATGCATGTATGTATGTATGTATGTATGTATGTATGTATGTATGTATGTATGTATGTATGTATGTATATATGCATCTTCGTATGTATGCATGTATGCATGCATTCATGTATGTATGGATGTATGTATGTATGTATGCATACATGTATGTATGTATGTATGTATGTACGTATACGTGTATGAATACATACATATATATGTATGTATATATATATATGTATATATATATATATATATATATATATGCATATCGGCGGTGCCCGGTGCGGAGCGACCCCCCCCCTGGTAAGGCCCATCCTGGGGGGTTTCGAGCTGGCGGCACCGCCGGTGCGAACCTGTACGAAACTCCCTGGAAAACACGACCCCCTGCGGGGATGCACGTAGCCCCCCGGGATCATCCTCGAGGGCACCGCCAATGCGTGCTGGTACGAAAATGCTCGGGAGGCTCGGAACGTCGTCCGGGGCAGGCGGCCCATCCGGGATCCAGCGCCGCCTCCCGTCGCCACGTGCCGAACAATTTCGGCAAAAGCGTTGTCGACTTCTCCTCCTCCTCCTTCTCCGTTTCCTTTTCTTCTTGATCTTTTTACTCGTTTTTTGCAGTTTCACTTCGTGCGTGGACGCAATCTGTTCCGCCCCGGGCATTCCCCGCAGACGCACGCCAGATTGAGCGCGCACTTGACATCATCGGAAGTGGCTCTCCCACACTGACTACAGTGATTATGCGCTATTATCAATTGCACCACCCCTCTGTCAAGTTAGCACTTTTACGTCATGCCCGGGACGGCGATGCATACGCCAGTGCGGTTGCCGATGCTCAGTCTGGCGACTCTGACGACGACGAATCTGACGACGACGACGAGGAATACGACGACAACGACGGCGGCGGCGGCGGCGTTCGTTCGTCACTCTGCTTGCCCGAAGGTCTGCGGCAACCCGCGTGCAGGCCAAGCGTGCTAGCTTGGATCCGCATTCACAGATCAATGATTCAACCGACACTCTTTGAAGTCTGCCCACTGCTCATGATCCATGGCCGCATTCTGCCAATCGTCGCCCGAGACGTTTGAGCATTGGAACTCGTAGTGCCACATGTGACAACAGGTGCCATGACTCTACAGGCCGTGTGACGACGACGACGACCTCTGGAGCTCTCTCATGGAGCACCACAGCGCGCCCACAGCACCACACGAGCTCTCCTACAGCACCACAGGACCACGCCACGCCCACCGCACCACCCAACACCCCCACTCGCCATCGCTCGGACGTCCATTTTTTGTATTTTTTTCGGTTTCGTGCGTGTTTTTTTCGCCAAATGGTCAAGGATGTTCCTCGATGGCCCTCGCCGAAGGAAAAATGCACACGTCCGAGCGATGCCAAGCCCAAGGAGCACCCTTCTCCCACCCCACCCCGCTCACACAGCCCGGGTCGTCGGCGGGCCCCGGCGCGCCCGGTGCGGGGGGGGTTCTTGGCTGCCACCGGCGGGGGGGGGGTTCGTGCCGCCGGGCACCGCCGACATGTATGTGTGTATATGTGTGTATGTATATATGTATGTATGTATGCATGCATGTATGTATGTATGCATGTATGCATGTATGCATGTATGCATGCATGCATGTATGCACGTCTGCATGCATGCATGTATGCATGTATGCATGTATGCATGTATGCATGTATGCATGTATGCATGCATGCATGCATGCATTTATGCATTGCGTGTATGCATTTATGCAGGTAGGTATGTGTGCATGTATGTTTATGTGCGGGTATATGTATGGCTGTCTATCTGTATGCATGCATGCATTTATGTACGGGTGTACGTGTGTTTGCATGTACACATGCAGGTAACAACGTAGATATGTAAGTACACACACATGCGTATACGTATATTTGACCATCTGCATACGTGTATGCCTGTAACTACGTGTATATACACTTATACACGAACATGCGCATACATGTTAGATGTATACAGGGCCGCCTGGAATAACCAGTACCTCCATAATATAATCTCCCTCGGAATACTTCGTCATCAACAATGCTTGTCGCTACGCCTCCGCACCCCCCCTCTCCTTCCCCTCTTCCCGTCCGGAGTGGTTGCGCATGTTGGCTTAGGAATTATTGGCGGCCAGAGGTTGCGCCACGGGTTTCGCATGCTGTCCCGGGGGCAATTTTCTGGCCAAGTGCTCAGCTCATGGGCTGCGCATGCGTGCTGGGGAATCATTGATGACCAGAGGTTGTGCCTCCTGGATCCACCAAAGGTTCCACATGCTGAAGTGGGAATCATTGGATGCCATGCTTTGCTTTGCACTGCTCTTCGCTGCGCCGCAAAGGTTGCGCACATTCGCTGCTCGGGGACCCAAGCTGGAATCAACTACCAGGGCGCTCTGGGCAGCACGCTTCCACGTCGCACTATCGGAACTTGGATGTCTGGCTCTTGCAGCCAAGAGGAGCAATAGGCATCGCAAATGCAAACCGATTGCCTGCGTCAGCTGGTGGTCTCTGTACGGAACGTGGGTCATGCCAGAAGAAGACGTCAATCTGTCGATCACTCCTCCGAGAGCTGACCTTGGCCACCGATAAACAGGATACAGAGAATGCTGATGACGATGATGCTGCTGCTGCTGCTGCTGCTGCTGATGATGATGATGATGATGATGATGATGCTGATGAGAATGAGGATGATGGTGATGATTACGATGCTGATGATGATGATGCTGCTGATGATGACGATGACGAGGATGACGAGGAGGAGGAGGAGGAAGTGGAAGACGAGGAGGAGGAGGAGGAGGAGGAGGAAGAGGCGGAAGAGGAGGGCAGAACACTACTTGTCGACAGGACTTGGCCAGAATGGGGATACTTTGCCGTGTCTTCTTCACCTAGCCTCGCCTGGCTGAGCTAGCTCTCGCTTGTCCCGCGCCCCCTGCTGCAGACTACGCCCAGGGTAACCTGCTCTTCTACTGGTCTTCCGTGCTCCGGGCGCAGGCTGTCCCCAAGCCCGGCTCAGAACCAACTGAGATCCTGCGCCCGCAAGCGAACGGAAGGACGAGGGAGGAGGACGAGGGAGGAGGAGGAGGAGGAGGAGGAGGAGGAGGAGGAGGAGGAGGAGGAGGGAGGAGGAGCAGGAGGAGGAGGGGGAGGAGGAGGAGAGGAGGAGGAGGAGGAGGAGGAGGAGGGAGGAGGAGGAGGAGGAGGAGGAGGAGGAGGGGGAGGGGAGGGGGAGGGAGGAGGAGGGGGAGGAGGAGGAGGTGGGGGAGGAGGAGTGGGGGAGGAGGAGGAGGAGGAGGGGGAGGAGGAGGAGGAGTAGGAGGAGGAGGATGAGGAGGAGGAGGAGGAGGAGGAGAGGAGAGGAGGAGGGAGGAGGAGAGGCGGAGGAGGAGGAGGAGGAGCACTTCTTTCCACTTGTTGAGGGAGCGCTTCCCCCCTCGAGGCCTCCCCTCTGCTCCCCCCCCCCCCGCCCGCCCCCCCGAGGGCGCGCTTCCCCCTGTGCGCTTCTGGGCTCGGGGGGTCCGCCCCGACGCGCTGCCGCCACCTGCTGCGGGCAGGCTCCCGCTCCCTCGGGGCCGCAGCTGCTGCTGGTGGCAGCGAGCTGTGTGCACACTCCTCCTCCCTCCTCCTCCTCCTCCTCATCCTCCTCTCCTCTCCTCCCCCCCTCCTCCTCCTCCTCCTCCTCCTCCCTCCTCCTCCTCCTCCTCCTCCTCTCCTCCTCCTCCTCCCTCCCTCCTCTCCTCCTCCCTCCCTCCCCTCCTCGTCCTCCTCCTCGTCCTCCTCAACCTCCCCTCCTCCTCCTCCTCCTCCTCCCCTCCCTCCCTCCTCTCCTCTCCTCTCCTCCTCCTCCTCCTCCTCCTCCTCCCTCCTCCTCCTCCTCCTCCTCCTTCCCCTCCTCCTCCTCCTCCTCCTCCTCCTCCTCCTCCTCCTCCTCCTCCTCCTCCTCCTCCTCCTCCTCCTCCTCCACTCCTCCTCCTCCTCCTCATCCTCCTCCTCCTCCTCCTCCTCCTCCTCCCCTCCTCCCCTCCCCTCCCCCTCCTCCTCCTCCTCCTCCTCCTCCCCTCCTCCTCCTCCTCCTCCTCCTCCTTCTCTCCGCCTCCCCTCCCCCTCCTCCTCTCCCCCCCCCTCCTCCTCCTCCTCCTCCTCCTCTCCTCCTCCTCTCTCCTCCTCCTCCCTCCTCCCCTCCTCCTCCTCCTCCTCCTCCTCCTCCCTCCTTCTCCTCCTCCATCCCCTTCTCCTCCCTCCTCCTCCTCCTCCTCCTCCTCCTCCTCCTCTTCCTCCTGCCGGAAAGGGGGGGGAAAGCCTCTGGAGCCCTGGGGGCTCTCCCAGAGAGGCGGCCGGCTCCCGACGCCGCGTGGCGCGGTTACCCGCGGAGATGGTCAGGGGCTGGCCCGGGATCTGGAGGAATCCAGAGTCGATGGGACGAAGGAGAGGGGCTCAGATACGTGCTGCGTCAGTTTCTCGTGGCGTTCAGCCCATACTTGTCTCAACGTTACCACTGGCTCGCCCGAGACCCTGACCAACTTCACAATCTGTTTCGCTGGTCAAAATGGCACTGCCCATACCATATCCCAAAGACCTGGAGCTTCGGGCAAACCCACAGACGGGGCTTCACCCGCAATCCCTGTTGAGCAATGCAGGACATTCACCCTGCTGTGAGTACGACGGAATTGATCATGATGACTGTTTTCGCTCGGAACGCACTATGCAAGGTCCGAACAGGACTGGGTAATGATGACGACGATTGTAGTGCTGATGATGAGTATGATGACGTTCAGGGCCCCGCTTACGGTGTGCTCATTTCATACACCCGCAGGCCCTTGCCTCGAGAGCGTGCTCCGGCAACTTCAAAACTCTGGTTCGGAAGCAGGGGTATGAGCAGTACTCGCAATCCTTGGCCAGCAGCCCAGCGAAAGCAACGCCCTCCTCACATCGATCGCGCCCGACCGTTGTGCACGGTCCAACGGGTTGGAGACTCCCTCTGGGCAAACGCGCTGTTGAGTTCCGTGCCATTCCTTCGCATCGATCGCAATCTGCACCAGGCGCCGCCGACACGGCGCTGTCCAGGAACCAGCTCGCGCGCGGTGCCGCCAGAACATCCACGCGCAGGTCGGCAGGGCCTCGGGCAAACAAGACATTTGACGGTACTTGGCGGCCAATGATGGAAACTTGCGCTCCACGTGACTTCCTCCCAGCGGCAGGGCGCACCGCAAACGATGTTCTTTCTGTTGCGCCGCAGTCGACCTGAAGGTGCTCGCATCCCTGCTGGACGTCAACACTTGGCGCACTTCGATCGGGGAGACGTACGACTGGGGTACGGGGGACTCGGGTTGGCCCGACGGGGCCATCATGAAAATGACGAGACCCTATCTGAAACCTGACGCGAGCTCCCGCTGCAGACATCCCACGAACACCTGACCGCCAAAGTCCAGGACGCGCTCGTCAGAAAACGTCGGCAAACCCGGGTCCCGGCGTTCTTGAGTCTGACGCTTCCCTTCGGTCGGGCGTCGGCGGCATATGGACGAAACATCAAGAAATATCGACCACATGCCGAACACGGTCAGAACGTATTCGAAAACTCGTCCACCTATTTTTGCTTGGACTATTCTTGTAGGGAGCCCACAGAGGACGCACGCGCCCAGCTATGTACATGAACACGGCCCCTCGATTCGCGAGACCCGCCGCGTTGTACGAACATTTGTGCAAGGCGTGCTCTCGAAACCAGCGTGGATTCATGTACATGTACGTCCTTGTTTCGCTCCTGATCTTCAGAGCGTGAATTACCTCCCCCGCTTTCGCTTCCACGCAAAACCATGCCATACCACGCGCCTCCTCGTCAAGCGTCCTGACCAGTACAGGCCGCAATTTGGCATTGTTTGGTATCTCTTGGAAGCGAGGGTGGTCAAAAGCGAGGTAGGTTTGTTTTCCACCGAGATCTTGAATCTCCCTCCTGTAGGGGGACAGGCCCGGCTCAGCGCCGCCCCGATCCGAAGGCGGGCCGGCGACGGGCCCCGCTTCGGTGCGGCGTCGGCGCGCTCCGCCGCCACGTCGGGCGGCATATCGGCCTCGTGCTTCGCGGGGCGCCTCTCTCTATCGGTGGGTTCCTCGCGCTTCGCGGGGTGCACCTCCTCCTCCTCCTCCTCCTCCTCCTCCTCCTTTTCCTCCTCCTCCTCCTCCTCTTCTCCTTTTCCTCCTCCTCCTCCTTTTCCTCCTCCTCCTCCTCCTCCTCCTCCTCCTCCTCCTCCTCTCCTCCTCCTCCTCCTCCTCCTCCTCCTCCTCCTCCTCCTCCTCCTCTTCCTCCTCCTCGCCCCCCCGAGGAGCTGTGACAGAGCGGCGGCGAGCCTCGGCCTCGGCCCGACAAGGAGGCACCGCGCGCGCGCGAGCACAAAGGCGCGCGGCTCGCGGGCGCTGCAGGGACGGAGGAGGGCCTGCGCTCTCGGAGGCGGCAGCGGTCCCGCTCGGAGCAGGAGCAGCCATCACCGGAGCAAGGACATCGCATCGGATCGACGTGTGCGTCGGAGTCGGGCGTTGGCAGAACTGGGTTTCAGTGGAACCTGGTTTAGTGATCTGTACCAGGGGCGCCCCCTCCGCCCCATTTCCACTAACCGGAACTACCAGGGACTGCGATCTCTTGGGTGTCCCAAAACCGTGTGGTGACAGACCCGGCGGTGAGCTCGAAGTCCGCAAAGACCTCACCGCCCGGTCCGTCACCGCACGGTCTTGGGCCCCTGGAGGCTCCCGTCGCCCGAGACGTCCTCGGAGAGCGACCCGAGTCCCAAAACCGTGCGGTGACCCCGAGTCCCCACCGGCTCACCACACGGTGTGATCACCACCCCGTTTGGGAGCCCCCGAATCTCCGAGGCGGCAGCGGTCCCGCTCGGAGCAGGAGCAGCCATCACCGGAGCAAGGACATTTGAGCAGGGACCGACAGTCCCGGCATTCCTATAGTCCTACCATGAACTGTTCTCAGAAGCCAAAAATGGTCTAAGAACAAAAGCAATGTTCTTAGAACATAAGCCCCATGCGATAAACAATCAAGACAATCTCCGCCAGAAATGTTCTAAGAACATTTCGTGGCAACCACACAAGGTTCTTAGAACATTGCTTGGTGGGGCTATAGGCGAGCCAGGACGCTTCGCCAGTGCTTGAATCACCGGAGCAAGACCATCGCATCGGATCGACGTGCGCGTCGGATGCACGCGGGCGGCTTCGGAGACCCTGAGCCCCAAAAACGTCTTCATCTCTTGGGGGCGCAGCTTCTGCTTCCGCCGACCCTCCGCCGCCCTTCCGCCGCCTCCCGCGGCGGAAGGGGCGACAACGCCTTCGACCCTCGAAGGCAAGGCCATATTTTTGGAACGCCCCACGTGGCGATGCTGATGTTGACGCTGCCGGTGATGCCGGCTGGCCAGGGGCAACTGTGATGCGTGAGTGAAGGGGCCCTGGGGCACACAAAGAAATATGCACAAAGAACAGGATTCCCCACATTTCCCAATATTTCCTGGTTTTTTGCCCCCCCCCCCCCCACACCCCCCTCCCCCACTTCCCATATTTTCCAATCTATTTTCTGGGGCATCGACGAAGAATTGCGTCTGTGCGTTTTTCCCCTCCTGAGCGAGAGGCACGCGTGCGGCGAGCGCTGGGGCAGCAGCCGCAGGCCTGCGCTGGCCGCAGCCGTGCCGACCCGTCCTCCCTGCGCTTCGGTGCTGCCGGAAGAGCCAACGCTTGTGGGGGCGGCGCGCCGATCTCGTCCAAGGCTCTGGAGCCCGAGTGAGGCTCCCGAGCGGGGGCCCCCCGCAGCGGGGCGAGGCCTCGAGCGGCTCGTGCTCCCCGCGGCTCGCCCCTCCCCGGCGCCGACGGCGTCGAGCCTTACAGTCAAAAAACTCTCATAGGGACGCGCGGTAAGGACGCAGGACCCTTGGAAGCCGAAGTTGGGACTTCTGGGGCGGCGGGCGACGAACACCTCAAGGACGCAAGAGCAAGGAAGGGCAAGGATGCAAGGGTGCCCTGAGCAAAGTCGCGCGTCCTTATTAGGGTTTTTGACTGTGCCCGCGCGTGCAGGCGGACAGACCATGCTGCGGTGCGTCTGGAGGCACAGCTTTCGTCGGCGTCAGACCTCGTGAGGTGCTCCAGAACTTCCCCCAGAGCTCCAGCGACCGCCAAACCAGCACCGCACGGAAGCGTGCTCTCTCAGAGCGCCGGCGGGGAGGGCAGTGTTGGAAGCCAGACCGTGTGCATGTCCGAAGGGCCGTGATTCGCTGGGCGGACGCCACGACGGTCTGCACGGTTTGTGACGTGCTCCAGAGCTCGACCCGTTCACTCTCTGCCAGGACTCCGGGACCCCCGAGCTCCCTTGTCGGCGGTGGGCAAACCTCCCTTTGGTAGACCTCCCCTTAGTGAAAGCGGCCTGGGGCCGAAGCCGACGGACCCGGACCCGCGAAAGTGACGGCCGCGACGCCCTCTCGCGAACCGAGAGCGGCCAATCCCTGAATCGACGTGTCAGGGTAGGAGGTCTGTCCATTGGCGGCGCGCACAAGGGGCTTCTTGGAAGCAAGCTGCTTCTTCGAAGGCGCCGGCCTTACATCTATAGATAAGGCCCGCGCCTTCTAAGAAGCAGGGGTGCTTCTAAGAAGCCCTCCCCCCTCCCCCCCCCCCTCTGCGCGTGGCTGAGTCCACCCCCGACTGCTCACTCTTTGCAGGACTCCGGGGCCCACGAGCTTCCTTGGGGCTCCTGCGGTCAGGCCAGTGTCCCAGCTGACGCATCCGAGGCCAGGCAGGGGCGAAGCGCGCACCTCCATGGCGGGAGAGGGGAGGGCGGGCGGAGCGAGGGAAGCCCAGCAGGGAGGAGGAGGAGGAGGAGGAGGAGGAGGAGGAGGAGGAGGAGGAGGAGGAGGAGGAGGAGGAGGAGGAGGAGGAGGAGGAGGAGGAGGAGGATGAGAAGGAGGAGGAGGAAGAGGAGAGGAGGAGGAGGAGGAGGAGAGGAGGAGGAGGGGAGGAGGAGAGGAGGAGGAGGAGGAGAGGAGGAGGAGGAGGAGAAGGAAGGAGGAGGAGGAGGAGGAGGAGGCCATGGGCAAGGAACTCGACGATCTGCGCGCGGGGCCACACGCTCGACGTCGGCGGCGCTCGGAGAGGCGGCGGCAGGGAACACAGGGGCGCCTCGGACTCCTCCTCCCCCCCCCCGGTCTCGCGAGCCGGCCAACGGCGTCGGTGTGCTCCCTCGGAGCAGCGACCGCCCAGGTCGCCCACCCCTTCTGCGCGACGCGCGCCCCCGCGCGAGGCGCGCCTCGCGCGCGAGCCTCCTCGCGATCCCTCGCGCCGCCGCCCCGCTCGAAGGTCGAGGAGCAGAGGGGGGAGGACGAGGAGGAGGTTCGAGGGTCGAGGAGTGGGGAGTGCAGGAGGAGGAGGAGGAGGAGGAGGAGGAGGAGGAGGAGGAGGAGGAGGAGGAGGAGGAGGAGGGGGCACCGCTGCGGTCCAGGCCGCGGGGCGCGGGGCGCGACGTGCGGCTCTCCCTCCGCGCCCCCCGTGGGCGGCGCCGGGCCTGCCGCGACGGAGCCCTGAAGGGGCCCCAGGACACACACACACACACACAAAGAAGTACACACACAGACAAAACGATTC